CGCGCGCGCGCTCTCCCCTCGCTGCCTCCTCGGGCCCAGACTCCATGATGCCCTCTACCTCCTGCTGTGGGCGGGCTTGGTGGGGGGCTGAATGAACACAAGACCCCCCTGGAGAAGAGGCGGCCTTGGGCCCCTGAGTGACATTAGCCAGGCCCTTCGAGCCTGGGGTGAGCCCTTAGCAGACAAGCCACTCAGTGCTGGGGCTGAGGGCTGAGGTTTTCTGGCATGTCAGTGTAGCTCCCGAGGAGATTGGGGGTCTCCCCTCCCTCACCAGGGCCTTTGTGCCTGCCCCTCACCCTGCCCAGGTGTTCCAGAAGCAACTCCTTGGAAGGAGTGCTGACGTGGGGTTCAGGGTTGGCACCTCTTCCACCTCAGTCCTGGGCAGCAGGCCTAGCTTCACTCAGCCTGTCCAGAGAGATGTCCTGAGCGGGCGCACATGGGCAGGCAGCACGAGGAGCTCCATCCGCAGTCACTCCACAGGGCACAGATCTGAGGAGCCCCATCAACAGTGGTGCCACGACATCACGTCGCGGAGAAAGCAGCAGGAAGTCCAGCAGGGACAGCTGTGAGGGGACCTGACGGAGGTGGGGAGAGGAGGGAACTCCGTCCACAGTGACTCCACAAAGGGACAGTGACATCATGAAGGGCCAGGCGGAGAACCAACCCACTCCAGCCATGGCACTGTGAAGGGGCACCGTGACGGGTGACGGGGGCGGGGTGGAGGGGGGTGTCTCTGAGGGACCCCATCAGCAATGATGTCATGAAGGGGGGAGCCTGAAGAACTCCATCAACAGAGGCGCTTGGAGGGACACACAATGACAGGGAGACTGAGCAGCGCTGTCGCTAACAATGTCCTCAGGGGACACAGTGGCGGGGAACCCGAGGAACTCCGTCAACAAGACACCGTGGTCAGATACACAGAGACCGGGACAGTGAGGGAGTCCATCAGCAATGGCGTCAGGAATGGACGCACACAGAGACTGGGGGGGGTCGGTCTGGGGGTCGGAGGAAGACATCCAAGAGGATATTTAGGTGAAGGGGAACTGAGAAAGGACGTCGGGTGCTCCCAGCCTGGGCTACACATGTCCCAACACCCTCTTCCCGCCCCCACACTCCTGCAAGTACACCTCTTGGGCCAACCCCACTGGAAGCCAGAAGTTCAACCTGGTGACAGCAGTGGCCAGGAGGGACAGGCAGGAAGGGTCTGGGAGGTGTGACCTTACCACTCCAGTCTGCCCTGCCAGACTCTGGCCCGGCTCTATCTCTGGCTTCTTAACCGCAGGTCCCAGCGCGGGCTGCGGAGGCCAGGAGGTCCCGGCTGAGGGGGCCAGTGGGGCTTGGTGTGGGGCTGCCTCTGACTTTCTGCCCACCCCCACCTCCTTCCCCACCTCCAACCACATTCCCTGGAGTGGACGCTGCCTCATGGTGGCCTCATGTGTGTGTGTGTGTGTGTGCAGAGCTGTGTGCCCACTGAGCCAATCTTGAGGGGCAGCCCCAAGCTGGGTGACAAGGACTGTCCTTGTGGAGACCCAGCTCGAGATCTTCTGGTCACCCCGAAAGCCCGCTGGTAGAGGCTGACGTCTCCTGCCCTGTCCAGGTGAAGCAGTACCGGAAACTCCTGCTGGAGACGTTCCTGGGCTCCCTGCAGGAGCCGGCCAGCACCAGCGTGGTCGCCGAGGGTTTGGCGGCCCTGATCAAGGTCCTGGAGGAGCTCCGGGAAGGGGACGTGGGGCACTCTTTCCACACCATCTCAGAGCAGTGCAGGGCCTTCTTCGACAATGTGAGTCCAGATGGGGTGCTCCCAGCCCCATGAATAAAATGCCTGCTCAGGAGGGATGGGCCCTCGGGACCCCTGAAAAAAGAGCCCCTGACTCAGGTCCTACCTACAACCCCCATAGCCATCGAGGTGACGCCGTGGCCCCACATAGGTCAGGGCAGCACTGTGCCCCACGAGGGTCTCAGCAGCTGCTTTTCCCAAAGGTCACCAGACCTTTCTTCCGAGGCACCTCTGGTGGATTTGAACTTCTGGTCCTTGGGCCAGCAGCTGAGCATGGGTCTGGACTCAGCCCCTGGCTGCTTTGGGGAGCTTGTGGAAAAACCCCACAGTTGTTTCATGCTCCAGAGGATCCACAACGGGGGATCTGAGGATGCACGGGGGTCCCTCATCCCCTACTCCCCTGGGTCCTTGAACCTCAAGATCCCCTGGGACCACCCACCAGGAGCAGGGCCAGGCGGTGGTGGGTGCTCCGAGGTGGCACAAGTGCCCCTTCCTGGGAAGAGGTGTTCATTGACCCCAGAGTGGGGCCTAGACTCTGTGCGATGACCCAGAAGGGCTTCTCAGGGGGGAGGGGGGGAGGGTCTCCGTGGACAGACAGGCCTCTGGGGCTTCTGCACCCAGAAGCTCAGACCGTGCCCACGTCCCTTGGTTGCAGGAGAGTGAGCTGCTGCGGCTCAAAGCCTTTGTGCTCTTCGGGAAGCTGGCCACGGTGGTCCGGATCTCCAAGAAGCATCTCTTCAAGGTGGAGCTGAAGAAAGCCTGGGTCCCCCTCATGCTGCACTGCCAGGACCCCAGCCCATGTGCAGCCAGAGTAAGAGCCGGGGCCCCCCGGCCCCACGGCGCCCACAGACGGCTCACTAGCGTCTAGCTGTGAGACACCCCTGGGTGGTACAAACCGGGAGCGTGCTCAGCTGCCTCACGGAAGGTCAGAGGCTGGAGTCCATTCGGAGGTACCCGGTGGAAGAAAGGCCTGCCATCTATTTCCGAAAACAGCCGTTGAAAGTCCGATGGAGCCCACCTCCACCCTGATGTGCACACGGGCTTGCTGGGCCGGCACTGGCTCCACGGGCACGGTTGTTCGTGGTCCAACTGGGCAGAGTGCAAGCCCGGCGTGGTTTGCGCTTCCCACGTCCATGCCTGCACACACACACACACACACACACACACACACACACACGC